CGGGACTCTACCATTTCATCGAGGTAGGAGGACTTCGTCCATCGACTTTTCCTCATCATCCACAGCCTTTTACATAGGCTCTTCTCGAAACGTTTGCCTACCGGCATCATGGACGGTCCGATGTCACTCGAGGAGATGCTCTTTGTTCAGGATACGGTTCTCACGGAGGAAATGGGCGAAGCGCCCGAACAGGTGAAGTTCCTTTTTCACCCTGACATCTCACCGGAAATATTTGGTTAGTTGAAATAAGTATGACTAACCCTTGTGTTCATCGTTTGCTTCCAGATAAGGGATGTTTGTGCTTATACTGATGCCCTCTGATGAGTTGACTTATGGCTAGTCAACGAAAAATCCGTTTTAGGGAGTTGGCCATGATCCCCAGCTGAGCATCCTATTGCTTCTCCCTGTCTACCCGTTCTGAGGTACAATGGCAGAACACATAACATGTGACTGTTGTTTATTTATGGCTAGCTGATAGTCTCATGATATATAGCATTGGTTTTTAATCGTTGTGTCGATGCGAATGCTTGTTGGCGATTGTGTCGTTTTATGTGTGCAAGGCGCTTTTTCAGTGATCAAGGCCAAAGCGTTTCTTAATGGCTGGCTATCTATTCTACGTGGAGCGGGGAGAATCTTCGTAGTTAGTTCAATGGGATTGCCTAGGGTATATCGGGAGAAGCGAAGGGTAGAATAATTGGGGAACACAATGATTGAAGGGGAAGGGTTATATGGCTGAAGTGTTGTTTTAAGGAGAGCATACACCAGAGACTATACGTGCATTTTTTTTGGTTATTCGTTGCGACATGTAGCAGGAGATGTTTTCTGTTGAGTAACGGCATTTAGTCATGAAACATGGATGGTATGACGCAACTAAGGTGTTTATTTTAATTTTTGACTCGTATTTTTTTATAGGAATTCTGCCTTCCTCACAGCAATTCGTAATTAGTCTTCGGATTTTTTCGGAGTTTAATGATGTTACATCAGTTCTCCTAACGGAAGAAGCTCTCTCTGATCGGAGTAAGAGTATTCAAGGTATGCATTTCTTGTTTAAGTTTTGGAAAAATGACTTTGTCCGCTCATCGCATAAGTGTGTTTGATACGAGAGTTGCTATGCTACACCCTGAGATGATTATGTTTCGGAGTGCCGTGTGGCACTGAAGAGTAGCATTCGCGCTTGACATAATACAGACACACCTATGGGTTGCCCAAGCACTCGTAGCGTACTTCCCAAGGCTGAAAACCTTGGTCGTCTCTGTATCTCTTCTCGAATAGGGTGATCTGCTAGTAATTTCCTGGGAATGTCGAACGGTAATATCTTGCGCGCAGTGACGGGAATCTTAGTCTATTGTTTTTTCCATCTCAATTTGTGAGAATTGTCTGTGGATGAACTCAGGATCAACCAGACTATGCCTTTATGTGGCTCCCGGAGCTAATCCAAGGTGACAACCCATGGCTGACCTGGTTCCCGGCACCATCGAGGCAAACCCAGGCCCTCATGGCAATCGCACAGAAGCAAGTGATGGCCGTAGTACGTCGAAAGTCGGAGTTCCCACCACTGGATGCGCTCCCGCTGGTGCTGTACATGCAATTCAATGACTGGGCTGAGCTAATCTATACCTACAAGTATGCCAGACCCAAATTCGTTGACCTGGTCAACGAATTCTCGAGGAGAACCATCCAATGGAAGGTGGAGGACGAGGTTGAAGGGAAGAATGCAGATCGACTTATGGTGAAGGAGAAGCGGTCCTCCTACAGATGTGGGGAGCAGAGTCGGCCTTCCACAAGGCCCACAGGGAGGAACCAAATTCAGTCAATAGATGTGAGGCGGAGGAAGACGAGCTCACCGAGGAAGAGAAGCTTTATCTGGAGAAGAAGAAAGCGGAATGGTCGAAGGCAAAGGTGTCGGCAAGAAAGGAGAAGCGGAGAGTTTCTGCGTATGGGGCAGGTGCGAGGAATGCTTTTTACCCACTAGCCTCTAATAGATGGGTGGAAGTGATGAGCAAAGTGTTGAAAGGCAAGATCTGGACATTGGAGACGTATAATTTCTTGGCGCCAATCGATGTAAGAGGATACACATTGCTAGCAGCTATTTTCCAGGACGAGGTCAGGGAATGCTTTGACCGAGCGATGAACATGGTCATGGCGCCCCCTGATGTGAGGTTCCCCTTCCATGGTGATGGAGTGTGTCTCCCTCATATGAGCATCATGGATGGCACTAAATGCACATCTTTCGATCCGATGGTTTCCACCAAAGGTCCCAAGCCACCGCAGAACCCTGCTCCTCTGCCGGAGCTAAAACGAATATGGAACGTTGGGAGGTTGTACGTGAAGTGCAAGTGCGTCATCTCAGGGAGGGAAGATTGTGGAAAAGGACCTGCGTGGTTTGACCACCTCCTCTGGTATATCTTCGGAGACCCGGACATTATGTTTCCGGATGCTCCCACGCTGAAGGCCAAGGTGAGACTGATGTTAGAACTGCTTGAAGGAAGCTGGAGGTCTCTGGTGCTGGCATCAACCACATTCGGCTACATGCGAGAGGCCATGATGGTTTTAGCGAAGAAGCTAGTGGCGGACCCCACTCTCACCGTTGAGAGCATCCTGACGGGCATAGTAGGCGCGGACAGCAAACTATTCAAAGAGTCGGCCAAACTGTTGATGCCTGCCAAGTACTTGAAGAAGAGATCGAGAGCTGATGTTGTAGCGTCATCCTCCAAGCGGCTTCGGGAGGAAGCACAAACGTCCATGGATGCGTTTGTGCAGGTTCCCTCTCAGGGAACTCCACTCAGTGGGCAGTGTGAGATGGATGTAGAATCCTCACCTCCTAGCTCTGCGGTGACAACAGTTGTCGGACAGAGGGTGGGAGGCCCCCCTGGACTCCGTAGGGGTAAGTCGGTTGCGAGAACTATATTCGTAAGGTAGTAATCTCTGTGTATTTTGTGTCGATCGCTTTTTGCAGGTACGGAGGGGTCGGATAGTACATGGCGCATCAGGTAGATTGCGTTGGGAGAAGATTGAAGACCCATCGATGAAGGACAGGAAGTTTGTCCATATCCACTATGTAGGCCGTGTCATGGAAAGGATTAGGATTCAATAGCTATTCAGAGAAGTCCTGATCATGTTCGTTAACGTATCTATCCTATCTGTATTTACTCAGATTGCGTATGGATGGACGTATGACAAGCCCATTTCGTCTGTTGTGTATCAACCAGCCAAGATTTTCAAGTGGTTTGACCTGGATGATTGGTATGAGTCGATGACTAGCTTAGGGAGACGTCCCTGCACAACGAAGAGGTTTGAGATTTTTTTGAGTGATGCAACAAAGAGCTTTTCTCAACCCACGGAGACCCCATCTAGGCATGTACTTACCTTAGATTCATTGATAGCATTAACGCGCGAGGCTGCCAATCTTCTTTCGATGGGTTTAAACCATATCCCATCACAGCCGCACTTTCTCAACAATGCCATTGAGGAAGTTATGTGAGCTTGGCAAAAGACCATTGAGATCATACTCTCAAAGGAATTCATACCACATCCGTTGGTCAAACACATGACGGGAGTAGTGAAAACAAGAGTAGCTGAGGCCTTTGGAGGAAAATTAGTAAGCGATAAACGTAAGAGACCCACTTCGTCAAGATTTCAAATCATGTCAGAACTTGACTTTCTCTCCAAGTATTTGTATATTGTCGGAACAGACAAAGCGGCAAATACGCCTTTCTTTGTATGCAAGCATTTGATTCGAGCTCTTGCCTTGAACGGTCCTGATTTTTCGTATTGTCACTTAACTGCTGATGAAGTACTAAGGAAAGCCAAAAATTCCCTGCGCAAATGTTGTCCGCAACTTCTTTGGGAAAAATTAGGTATCCCATATATTATGGCAATCTTCAAACAGCACAAGACTTCCTTCAGACGGCTAACCGATGCATCTGACTGTTTTTGTCTAAGGCATCGTTGCTCTGTCACTCGCTACTGACAGCAATCGAAATTCCTGTAATGAATCATTGTAGGGAGTATACTAACATGATTAAAGCATTTCATGGGATTGACACGTCTATTTGGTGGGTGATTGACAGTGTTCGAGATTATTGCTATAACCTCCCCAAATCTATCTACTCTGTCTTCTCTGCGGATATATCAAAATGTTTTGAGAACATCCCCATAAATAGCCCAAATGATGGATTAATTGATGCCATTAATGTCTATACTAAAATTGCATTCTCCTACCTGGAAACTCACGAAAACCTCTCATTTATGCGTTGTAAGGTAAAACGAGATGGCACTTTTCTATGTTCTCCAGCGAAGAAAATAGGCCCTCATCCGAAGAATGCGTGGTTTATGTCGCAATCGAATATCATCGAGTTGTGTAGATGGATTGTTGAGGGATGCTATGTAATCTTTGGAGGGAAAATATGGAAGCAAGAAAAAGGCATCCCCATGGGGCTTCCATGTTCGCCAACATGGTGTAACATTTATTTTTTTAAATATGAATACAAATTCGATAGGAGGTTGGTGAACAATGGGCAGACGCACTGTGCTGCACTGTTCAAAGATACCTTCAGGTACATTGATGACTTAAATGTGTTGAATAACCCGTCGATTATGAAGTTCTTAGACACAGACCAACCGAGAACGTCGAACAATCCTTTCTGGATTTATCCTCTTGACATCATCGAGATAAAGAATCAGACGAAATAATTCTCTGAGGAATCAGATGGCATGATTTTCGAGAAATTGGCGCAGTTCCTGCACTTGGATATCAAGGTCATTTCACAGCAATCAGGGGAGTTTATTACTACCAGGCATGACAAGACTGCGTCTCTTTCGTTTAAACATGTGAGGTTCATCAAGTTCAATTCTAACAGACCAATCAAGCAATCAATTAATATTTTGGTTGAGCAGACAGCCTTAGTCATGCTACTAACCTCAGACCATAAGGCTTCAGCAGTAGATCTTAGGAGAATCATTAAGATCATGGTCGGAAATGGTTCTAATGAAGAGAAGTGTTTGAAAATGACCATCGGAGTCCTTGACAATCCAGAGGCCTTCCAGGATTTCAGGTGCGACGCGATGGATGCAAAAAAGACGCTCATGGTAAGATTCTAAGTCTCACAAGAGGTATGAGGATTTACAAACAAAATTTTTTCACAATTTTATTTCAATATCAACACTTCTATTCACTAAGTGTGTCGGTACTGTGTGTGTGTGTGCGTATAAATCTTCATCCCATGGTCTGCTATGGGGCATGGTAGAAGGTGACTAGTTCATGACTGGCCCAGAAAGGGGCTGGTATCATACCAGTCCCCTTTTGACCAGCCATCAACAGTGGGTACGGGGTGGGACACACACACACACACACATACAATCAGGCTTGAGAAAAGGGAAAATAAGCCCCTCGGACCCCCAGAAATGGGTAAATTCGTAGGTAGACAAGGGAGGAGGTTGTTAAAAATGGTCCTTTTTTCAAACTTAACTAAGTTGGACCCTGCCACAGACCCTGAGGCCTACCGGAAACTGAGCCTTTTTAGATAGAGGCAAAAAACATTTTTACCACTGAAAATAATAAATC